GATAACGCCTCTTCACATACCTCCCTTAGAACAAAAACAATTATTGAGGAATCTGGTGTTGAAACTCTAGGTTACCTACCCTACAGCTATGATTTAGCTCCTTGTGATTTCTATTTGTTCCCAAAAGTGGAAGAAAAATAAAAGGCAAGTTTTTTTCAGGCGCCGAATAAGCCGTGACTGCCCACGAAAAAACGATTTTCGACCTGTCAGATCAAGACTGCCATAAGTGTTTTCAGAGTTGGTTTAGGCGAATGAAACTTTCCTGCCCTATATTCTATATATCTATAATATATAGATATTATCTATATATCTATAATATATAGACATTATCTATATATCTATAATATATAGATAATCTTTAACTCAAACATCAACTTAACGCCGATGTACTCTCTGTTCTCTAACTCTCCTAGTCCTGTACGATGGAAATCCGGCACCACCCGTAAGATATCAGTTGATGTATACTTTAATATTGTTATAATCTAATACGTATTGCAGTTAAAAAAGAGACTATGTAGCCCAATCCTTTTTCAAAGGTATTCGTAATGCAGTTTTGTCAAGTTCATTTTTCTGCGCAACTGAATATAGTCGTATATCTAAATTATACATTTATCGTCATCGTCGTCATCATCAGCCTTCAGCAGTCCACTGCTGGACATAGACCTCTCCCAAGGCGCGCCACTTAGCTGGTCTTCGGCTTCACGCATCCATTTGCTGCCAGCCGCCTTGCGCAGATCGTCGCACCATCTAGCCATGGGGCGTCCCACACTACGTTTACCTAAGCGTGGTCTCTATTCTATGACACACCTAATCTAACGGTTATCACTTCTGCGGCAAATGTGACCAGCCCATTACCGCTTAAGCCTGCAAATACGGAAACCTACGTTGGTGACCTTGGTTTTCCAGCGGATTTCTTCGTTACGAATCTTATCCAACAGAGAAACTCCGAGCATAGCTCTTTCCATCACCCGCTGGGTGACTTTGAGTTTGTGGAGTAGTCGTATCATTAGTATCCACGTTTCGGCATCGTATGTGACTACTGACAGCACGCACTGGTCAAAGACTTTCATCTTCAAGCTTTGCGGTATGGGTGACGAGAAGACTTGACGAAGCTTCCCGAACGCTGCCCAACTGCTCTCGAAGTTGTTTTTATCTATCTGTATTATCTGGCCGAGGTTGATATACTCTTGAACAACTTCAAAAATTTCACTATCAACGATAATCAGATCTGGTATGACATGACTATTAAACATGAATTTCGTCTTATTTTACCTCATACGCAGACCGACACGTTGGGAGGATTAATTTAGGCGGCTCAGCATGCCTTGTAAAGATTCTGCCATGACGACGATATCATCGGCAAAGCGTAAGTTTGAGATGTGTCTGCCGTGCCGATGTACTTACCGTTTATATTTTTGCCGCGTCCATACTAGTTTAGCAGTTCCAGTACATTTGCGAACAGTTTCGGAGATTTCGTGTCTCCTTGTCTCACTCCACGACGCAACTGAATAGTTCTATCACAGGAAGGTCGTCCATCTGTTCCAAGGAGGTATCGGATTTATCGTTCACAAGTCTGTCATCAACGTTGTAAAAATTGAGAGTGTATCGATAAGGGTCACGTACCTGAAACTCAATTCACTGAAGGTCATACAGGTTTACGCATCAACTTCGGCAGATCCCGATAAGGAAGCGGAGGAATTATATGAGGATATCTCTAGAGCTATACATTCCTTGAAAATCCACTATACGGTGTTGATGGGAGACTTCAACGCAAAACTAAACACAAGAAAAAACGGTAAATTGAAGTTAGGGAAATTATGGAATTTTAGTTAGGGAATAGGGCAACGGAACACTCTAGGGGCCAGCAGTTGGCCGACTTTATGAAAAAAGAGGGACTATTTATGATGAACTCTTTCTTACAGAAGCGGCCCCACAGGAAGTAGACCTGGTCAAGCCCCGATGGTTCGACAAAAAATGACATTGACGATATGACGATCAGACGACGGCTCAGTGATCATGAGGGTGAAAACTGGCAGCGATCACCGAATGGTTAGAGGCACACTGAACTTAAACGTTAAGTTGGAGAGGTCTCGTCTAATGAAGTTAAGTCCCCCTCGTGCGCTAATCCAGGATCCCGAAAACTTTCAGCTCGAATTACAAGACCGTTTTCAGTACCTAGAAGACTGCAAAACAGTGGACGATATGAATGACAAGCTCGTGGAAACTGTCCATGCGGTCGGAGCTAAGTTCTGCAAGACCTGCCACCGAAGAATACAAAAACTCTCCGATCACACTCTTAATCTCATCGATGTAAGATGGAAGATGAAGCTGCAGTCGTCAGCAGATTTGACAGCATACAGGTAACTAAACAGGCAGATCTCCAAATACATGCGGCGAGACTTGCGCAACTTTAATACAGCTCGTATTGAAGAAGCGATTGAGTGGAACCAGGGCTCCAAAGTCTGTCAGAGATCTGTCTGACAGAAAGAGCCAACTGTTTAAGCTGAAGACTGAGTGTGGCAGCATCGTTTTCGGGACATCTGAGATTTTATGTGGGATTGAGAGGTTCTATGGGCAGCTGTACATATCATCGTTGGAACCACACGTAAGTGTAAGTAATAATCCAAGAGCAAGTCTTATATAACGCTATTCCGATGATATCTCGGATGGCAGTCTGAGCGAGATTGGAATGCCTCTCCAGCACCATAAAAATGAAAGTCCCGAGCGAGGATGGAATTACAGCGGAGCTTCTGAAAGCGGGTGGGAAACCGGTACTTGAACTACTTCAGGATCCCATTAATTCCGTCCTCTATGGAGGCACTACTCCCGAGGCGTGGACCAGAATTGCGGTGGTCTTGTTCTTCAAGAAAGGTGATAACGCTCTCTTGAAGAAATAGAGACCGATAGTACTAATATCCCTTCTGAGCCGCGTCTACGTGCTGTTTTCGACGAATCAACTCGCACGCAGACTCGACGACTTTCAACCTCCCGAACAAGCCGGTTTCCGAAGAGGCTTTAGTACCATAGACCACGTACATACCCTTCAGCAAATTGAACGGAAGTCCAAAGATCTTCTGAGAATGAGATCTTTCAGTGTCGGATTGATCTTCAGATCAATCTGCCACTTTGCCTGGCGTATGTGGACTATGAGAAAGCCTTTGATTCCGTCGAAATTTGGGCGGTGCTACAGTCTTTTCAGCGGTGCCAAGTTGACTGTCGGTATATCAAAGTGCTGAAGTGTTTGTACAGTAGGGCTACGATGGCTATCCGAGTCCGAGATCCGATCCAAGAGCTAAAAGTCGCTCAGCAAGCTATGGAGAGGGCTATGCTCGGGTTTTCTATACGTGATAAACTTAGAAATGAGGATATCCGCAGTAGAACCAGAGTAACCGACATTTCCCAACGGATTGGTAAGGTGAAGTGGCAGTGGGCAAAAACCGTTAGGGAAAAAGGTTCTCGAGTGGCCGCCTCGTACCGGTAGGTGAAGAGTAGGGTGACCCCCACTAGATGGAGTGATGATTTGTTAAGGCATGCAGGAAGTCGATGGATGCAGGTGGCTCAGGACCATGCTTTATGGCATACCTTGGGTGAGGCCTATGTACAGCAGTGGACTTGTGAAGGGCTGTAATGATGATGTTTACGAGTATGATAAAGTTTTGATCGAGTTAAAGCTTTCTCATAGTCCACAAAGGCCAGACACAGAGGCTGATTATACTCATCCGTCTTCTGAATTATTTTCCTTACTGTGTGAATGTATTCAATGAATGAATGAATGAATATACTTTTATTGTACGCCACAAACAAATATGTAGATAATAAAACAAAAGCAGATCATAATATGTAAGTACAATTTGGTGGCCTTATCGCTACATAGCGGTCTCTTTCAGGCAACCAAAAGTGTAAAAGATTAGAACAATGAAAACTGGGTAGATGGTGCAATATAAATATATATAATATAATATCAATACATGCGATTTATAGACAATACATGCAATAAAATAACATATAAATAACTAATACATGAAATTATATAAATTGCTAAAATATAATAGAAATCAAGTAAAACATATAATATTACCCATTATATACAATATATAAGTATATAAACAAACTTACACATTTACCCAAAAACACATAAACATACACACGTATATATACATATATATATATATATATATATATATATATATATATATATATATACATATATATATGAGTTAGGTGAAGTTTCATTTCATTTTATCTCATTAAATTTCATTTTAATTTCATATCAATAAAAAATTCTACTGAAGACTTGGCTGTATGGGCATAGTTTCGTTTTCCTACCCAGGACGGGTGAAGAAAACAAAAAAATTCTCTGCAATTCTTTTACGGTTGGCGCCATTTTCCAAAAATGTAGTTGTTTGTTGCACAAAATGAGTAATTTAGATATTTTATTTGAATTAACACCACCGGAACTCAGCACAATTGCACAAAAGTTTAAAAGTCGCTATATATCTACATACGACGAATTTATTGCTTGGAGAAAAGAGAAAAAAGCAAATAGTTTTTCAGAAAATGTTATGTTAGCATACTTCTCCGAACTATCAGAAAAATTAATAAAATCGGCCAAGAGCGTGTCGGGCCACGCTCAGTGTAGGGTTCCGTAGTTTCCCGTCCGTCACAATAAGTGTTCCCACTTATGAGTTTAAAGGTGGGTAGCCATTATATTCGCGCTCCAGCAGCGCTCCGCGCTCCTGCAACTGCTCCCGGTAGTGGGTACGTGCGCGAACATGGAGCGTGCAACATTGCACGCTCCGCGGCAGGCGCTCCGACTCATGATGGTTTTTAGCGCGAACACAAAGGGGAGCGCAGTGTGTTAAAGGGGAGCGCATGTAGAAGTGCGCGCCACGTATCCATTGGAGCAGTTGCAGGAGCGCGGAGCGCCGCTGGAGCGCGAACATAGTGGTAACCCAACTTAAAAAGGCTATTTGTTACGGAACTCTAACAATTACGGAACACTAAAAACGGGCCCACAAAGGACGGTGATAACTAAAAAAAGAGTTATAGATTCCAACCACACATGGAAAGTTCGAGAAAATGTTGTCTATTTGAGTCCCACCACGAGTAGTGGGTAGGGGTTGTAACATGGAGTGATAACCAGCATCATTTAGTAATTTAAATACTGCAGTATTGCTGTTACTAAGGTAGTCTTCGTTAAAATCTCCAAATATAATGCAAGAACTATTATGCGACAGTAAATTACTTATAAAACCCACTGCGACGCTGTTGGGGCATTTGCATGATCTATATAAGGCTACTATTTTCACATTATTTACTTCAAAAGATACTGCTTCACAGTGCTCAGTTCCGGAAATTTCACTGTAAGATCGTGGGTTGGAATATTCTAGATTATGTTTTATCATTGCAGATACACCAAAGCCGGGGTTTGCAGAATACTGTTTCGGGCCATTTGTTCGAACTATTTCTTCAAAATTATTCATATTGAATAAATCTTGAAGGCAACTCCAAGTTTCTACGGCTAAATAAATGTCGCATGCCATCGTCTGCGGATCGGTTACTACATCCTGCAAGTGTTTACGTAGAGATTGTACGTTATGGAACATAATTTGGCAGGAACTGCGGGGCTCTCTTAAAAAGCGATATATGGGAATCAGGGGATTTAATTTTAATTTTCGCATTTCCGTTACGACGGAATCATGCTCAGATGGTGGACGTGGAGGACGAAAGGTCTCGGTAACAATGAATAAACCTTTTGAGCTAGTGGCACGTGAGCAGGCGACGTATAACATAGATCTTAAAATATTGGGCTTTAAATGTACTACAACTTTTTCTAAGGTGGAACCCTGACTTTTATGTATAGTAACAGCTTCAGCGGGAACTACTGGGAATTGACTGCGACGCACTTGTAAGTTTGAAGATTTGTACCTTTTCACAGTGTACGTAACTGGCTCTATTGGAGTCCAATTATTTTTTAGCCGTGTTTGATAACGAGTGAGGGATGTTGAGCTCTGAATTCTTTTTAATTTGCCTATATTTACGTCATCGAAACATATCCAAATGCGTAATGGTCTTCTCTCACCGGTAGTTGGATTGACTGCAAAATCAATCGCAGTCAGTACCCCCGTGGTTCCATTCACTAGTCCGTCTGACGTGTTAATATTTACTGTCATCATATATTTAGCCGTGATTTTTAAAGTTATAGCATTAGGTAATCCGTAGGTTTGAGACGTGGGTAACTTGGCAACTGTGTTTAGAGCTTTTTCTTTCATAGCAGGATTAGCTTCGCCACTTACTCTATCCACAGCCCGGGATATCGCTCCTTCGGTAGTCATATTTGAGAGTATTTTAGAATTATGCCCATCAACTTCTCGGTTACTGCTGAATAGATGAACTGCGCCCTTACACGTGTCTGGAAGTGATGATTTACTAAAGCACCGACCTTCAATTAAATTGACATCTTCAGGTGACATACATCCACTAGCCATATTATTTAATGCCGTGGCAAAGGCAACATCATCCCTTTGACGCATTATTTCTTTAAGCTCTGTCAGTACAAATAAATCCCAAAGCGGCGTACCTGCTATTTCTGCTAAAGGATTTCGAGAATTAGCTTGAAACACCCAGTTGTCGCCAACAGGTGGTAATTGTCTGAAGTCTCCAACTACTATCACTGAAATTCCAGAAAAGAAGGTAGAAGAATGAAATATTTGCTGAAGTCTACGATTTATTTGATGGAATGTCCTGGATCCTAGCATTGAAATTTCATCAATTACAATTAAACGTAGTTTTGCTAGTTTTGTGGCCAGAGTATTGGCCACACTTGGTGACAGCTCTGGTAAAATATTGCCCGCTTGAGACACTGGAAGTCCAAGTGCGCTATGGATTGTTTGCCCTCCTATTCCGAATGCAGCTTTACCGGTAAAAGCTGTTAAAAGTATTTTTAATTCATCGGGATTACTACCAGCTTCTCTGTTAAATAAGAGAGTTAGGCATTGATAAATTGCTTTAATCAGAATACTTTTGCCAACGCCAGCCCCACCACTGATAAATAAATATAGTGGATGTGGAGAAGTAATGGAAAAGTGTTGATAAATATGAAACAACGTGTCTCTTTGAGCATCATTTAGTTTTCTAGTAAGAATCAAAAAATCGTCATGGGACAAGACAGGTGGTTGCGCAATGAAAGTTGAGGGGTCACCACACAATTGCGGCCCGGGATTACCGCCTGGAATGAGTTCTTCTGCTATATCTACTGTTTGCGTCTCAAATTCAAAGCCTTCAAATACATCCACGTTGACTCCTCTTCCTTGCAAATCTTCTTCTTCGTTTATTAATTCTACATTTCTTATTTCTGTTAGCAATGTTTCAAACATTTCAGCATCACCTAGTTTATTGAATTGTTTACTTTCGGCCTTTATTCTTTCTTTATACTCGTCAAATATGTCCTTTATATTTATGTTGGGATTTAGTAATTCTTCCTCCTCGCTTCGCCAAGGGATGTATAGCATTATCTGTTCCCTATAGAAATTGTCTGGATCATCAATGTAACTGTACCGGCGAAATCGTATTACTCGAGTTTTAGTTCTTTTCCGTATGTATCCTAAATTATCTTGCAAAGGAATCCAATTCCCTTCCGCTTCAACTTCTTCAACAGCCTGGGAATAATTAATTGCTTGAGAACTGTCATTGAGAGTTTCTATTGAACTAGCTGAATGAGTTTTTTTGGAATAGGTGTAATATGCTACAAAATGGGAAAGACTTATGTTTTCTAACGATAGTGGTCGTTTTGAATAATAATCAATAATACCCTTTTGGAATATATCGGAAGAATCAGGTGCGAGGCTTTGCAAATCAAGGTAACTTTTTAAAATATGCACTCGCTCTTGTGGCAAACTAGTGTTTATGTACATTGCAGCTTCACTAGCTCGTGACAGTGGTAAACCAGTCAGTACATAAATTGCCTCTTGAGCAGAGATCTCACTAGAATTTAAGAATACATTAGATACTATTCTTAATGAGTCTTTAACACTTTTATTTCCTTTTTTTAGCTTCGTCCAAAGCTTCACGCAAAAGACGAGACATCCCTCGGTCAGCCTTGTTAATATAGTCAACAATATATACTGCGCACGCAAAAGGGTCTAATATGAATTGGATGTCCATGTTTGCTTTGTGCAAAGCTAAGATTTTTTTACTAAAAGGATTAATAAATACATCCTGAGGTCTTCGTTGAAGGACTACCGTAGGTCGTTTTAAGGTGCTTCTAATAGCCAATATGTAATCTTCATAACTAACTCTAATCCAGTCCAAAAAATCAACGAAAGTGTATATTTCTGCAGGGATATTTTGTATTTTTTGGCAGATGTCTTTTGCCAATTGTTTTGACTTTTTGAACTCTGGATCGTCTTTTGAAAGTTCTTTTAATACTTTTGTTTTATCCATGGGGAAAAATGGTATTCCAAAGCGACACAGTCTATCTGATGTTGGCCGGCATGTATGTGTATGTTTATGTAGTTGTAGACGTCTAAGTTCATCAGGTACTTCAGTGCTGTTACAGGAAATAATATTGTCAACAAATTTGGAAATATCACGAGCAGATGCTGTATCACCGGGTACAAAAGTGGGCGCTTCGTCTAACCATAACATCATATGAGCATGAGGCGATCCTCTATGCTGAAATTCAATGCGATAATAAAAGTGTGTGATTTTATAATTTAAGAAAGGTCCAGATGAACAGGACCAGGTTTTTTGAATTTCTTTTAATTTGATTTCAAAATATGTGGCGCAAATGAACGGATCGGATTGTATAAGGCGAGTTTTTGTATCGTATGGCAAGTTTTCCGCTTCAAGCTCAGTAAGTTTTTTCTTATCAACTACTTCACTAAGCAAAATTAATAATGGAATCCATTGTACTTCAGCAGCAGATATAGTTAAAAATAAAGTGGGAACACCGAACTGTCTAACCATTGCCAACAACTTTTTCTTTTCACTTTCCCAGTGAGCAGGAGAATTTCTAATTCCTCCAAGAACACGATACCCATCGTCATGTTGAACTAAATTGTCAACAAAATTATTTTGAAGCACATTGCATGCAAATACAGGGGCACCTCGGGCAGTTTTTTTGCGTAAACAGGTCGTAACATTATTTTTGACGGCAATAGTTTGTTGCTTTTTCAGGGCAGTAAATAGGTAATCAGGTCTTACAGCTCGCCTGTCATTTCTGGAAATTTCTGAACGTGTGACTTCAGAATGACTTAAGTTCACGAGGTATTTTCGCTCAATAGCGCAATGTACTTTTATGAAAGCCAGCTCTTCCAGATGTCGATCAAAAAGCAAGGAAATTGGCCTTTCACCTTCTCCTGGAGCCATAACTATTGATAGGTCTTGGTTTTCATCTAACAGAGTTTCTGTGCCACCAGGATTTACATCGGGGATCTCATCAACATTGCTCTCCTGCTCAGGTGAACTACAGGTACATTCGACAGTGTCTTCAGTTTCATTATTTGTCCATGAACCTTCAAGTTCTATACCATATGTCCGAAACAGATCACACGTTACTAAATATTCCGCTGCTCTCCGTATGATTTCCGGGCGGACTTGTTCTTTTCGACCATGTTTATAACAGAATTTACGCTTCAACTCTACAGTGATGACATTGTCATCATTTATCGACCGAGGCAAAGCTTTTACCATGTTATTAATTTTTACAGGTACATTAATAACATTTCCTGATAAACCATGCTGATATCCTAATCCCTGGCCTCTACGAACTATTTTCAAAAAATACGTGACGAGGACTTACTAATCTCTCCTCCATTGAAGTTAATTTATTCAAAACATCCGGAATATCTGGAAACTTCAATCCATTAGCTATTGCTAATCGTGGCATTCGCCCTTGAGTTATATATTTAGCACACGTACAGCAAAACTCAGCAGATTCATCACAAGGATTTAAATTAAATACACTTAACGCGAATTCTGCATTATATTTAGTCGAAATAGAATGCTTTATTAGTTTCCTTACAGAATTTTTGTGCCATAGTCTACCACAACATGAACAAGGATGATTGTATCCTTCCTTGGTGTTATTAAAATATTTTCGTTTAACATTATCCCAATCATTAATAGAATTACAACGCGCCGATTGTCGAGCTCTGGTGTCTCTAGCTCGTTCAATTTGTGAATAATGTGGATCTTCGCGAGCTATTTGGTGAGCCTGGGTATCACGCCGTTGCTCTATATCACGGAAGACTGGGTTTTCCCGAGCTATGCGGTGAGCATGCGTATTTCGCTGCTGTTCTGTATCCCGGAAGATAGGGTTTTCTCGAGCTTCACGGCGAGCCTGCGTGTCCCGCTGCTGTTCTGTATCCCGGAAGATAGGGTTTTCACGAGCTAAGCGATGAGCCTGCGTGTTGCGTTGTTGCTCTGCCTGTATAATGACGGGAATCTGACGAGTGGCTCTGTGGCTCTCAGTATTTCGTATTTGCTTAGTCTGTGTGTAATCAGTATTTTTTCTTCTACGTTTGGCTTGGCCGGACCCAGTATGTTCGTTGTTGGCATATCTTAATGTAGGACTTGGTTTTTCTTGAGTACTATACGTAAGTGCTAAACAGTCAATGGTCTGGATATCATTAGTCGGATTTTTGTCTTTCTGTGATTCATCTGTAAATGTTGGACTTTCAATTATCTGCGTAATACCTGTAAACGTTGGACTTTCAAATATCTGCGTACTACTTGAAGACGTTGGACTTTCAAATATCTGCGTATTATCTGTAAATGTGGGGTATTCAATGTTTTTCTTGTAATTAACGTTTTGACTTTCAGTTTCTTGAGACTGTGTCTTTTGAGACCTTTTGTTTTTTTTTCTTTTCGGCATCCTTAATTTTACATTTTTCTTTCTTTGCTAGTATATTAAGGAACAAATTTGCTGGTGGCCGGCCAGCTCTTCTTGCGGTGTTAGTTGATGGGAAAAGTTCTAATACACCTCGAGATAACATATCAAACAAATGACGTCGCATGTCCTCGGCAACGAAATTGATACAGGATGGATTAACTCTCAAAGCTAAAGCGGTGGCAAAACAAATGGCGAATAGCCCACACTCAATACTATTATTTGGTTGACGTTGGACACTAGGAAATTGTATTTTATTATTATCCAAGTATGGGAATAGTGCGTTAACGTAAACGTGCTGCGAATGACTTAAACTATTATATAAACTATCATAGACCCGTAATATTCCATTGATGTAATAAATGCAAATCCAATGCCCCACAAACCCGACTTCTCCGCCATATATAATTTGTAAATGAGACTCGTTTTGAGGCACAGGCTCTATTAGTTCCGGATAAAGAAAAAGAGACACTTCTCTAGGCCGAAACAATGTGTGTTGGGCTAACACATCATGAAAGGCGCGCACAACGTCGTCCTCAACATGATTATTACTGTTCAAAATATACGAGAACATTTTAATACCGGACAATAAGTAATTATAAACAAGTGTGTTTAACACTATTTTAACAAACTAGCCCACTTCAAATCGTAATTAGCTAGGAGTTGTACGTATCAAGTAACTGCGTACTGTGCGTACATACAAAATTAATATGAACAATATCCGCAAAAGAAGTTAATTTAACCCACAATCTAATTTTATCAAACCTCAACGACTATTAGATTGTGCACTCATAGGATTACGAATATGTTTAAGTGCAACTTCCTTTACCACGGTAGGTCATGAAAGCACGGAAAATATTAACATTGACTTTTAATAAAATAACGTCATTATGCAACGCCATCTATCGAACCATTTATGAACTGGTTTTTACCTTAACATTTTGATGGCGTTAAAAAAATGAATTTTAGATTTGTTCTAAATTGCCTTAGCATGTTCTTGATAAAAGTTTTATGTTGTTATAAGATACCGCCAATGCCAAGGAGAGACCAACCGAACAATTCGATAACACCCGACCAATGTAATAAGTACCTACAGCGACATCTCTCGGGGATTGGGTTATTAATTAATACATAGACGTGCCAGAAGTTTTCGGTGGTAATTTTGGATTGCGAGAACCGATTTTAATAATTCTTTTTTTGTTTGAAAAAGATATGTAAACGAAGTTAAAAAAAATGCTTGCATATACGATTCTACTACAAACTTAGTCCAGAAATTATTTTGTACAACTTTTTGTCTTTTTTTGTACAAAAACTGTTTCCATCCAAGTTCAAAATAATTTTCCTGGAAAGTCCTTACAAAGTTCTACTTTACAGATTTTTTTCATATTTTCTAAACTCATGGTTCAAAAGTTAGAGGGGGGGGGACACATTGTTTTTTACTTTTGGAGCGATTATTTCCGAAATTATTGACATTATCAAAAAATGATCTTAGTAAACCCCTATTCATTTTTAAATACCTTTCCAACAATATATCACACGTTAGGGTTGAAATTAAAAAAAAAAATCACTTCTTACTTTACATATAGGGGGGCTACCCTTATAAAACATTTTTTTCCAATTTTTATTTTACCACTTTGTCGGCGTGATTGATACACATATTGGTACCAAATTTCAGCTTTCTAGTCCTAACGGTCACAGAGATTAAGCGAGGACGGACAGACGGACAGACAGACATGGCGAAACTATAAGGGTTCCTAGTTGACTACGGAACCCTAAAAACGTTATGGTCTAAGTTTTCGATGATAAAAAGTATGCTGAAAATAAGGAACAACGTGGATATAAATGAATACCCAAGTTAGTTGAGTTTATTGTGTTTTTATGTATTGTATTGAAAATAGTTTTCAGTACACGTGCGGAACCGTCATTGCAACTTGTTCTGACTGCCAACCCTCACGTTCGGCTGCGCCTCGGCTCGAGTAGACATTTGTTGGAACCCTATGCTTTCCGCACTCGTAATGAAATATCATCATCATTACAGCCCTTCACAAGTCCACTGGTGAACATAGGCCACCCCCAAGGTATGCCACAAAGCACGGTCCTGAGCCACCTGCATCCATCGACTTCCTGCATGTCTTATCTGGTCGTCACTCCATCTAGTGGAGGGTCGCCGTACACTTAGTATAATGAAATATACTATTGCTAAATATGTATCAATCATTTCGCAGCAATAAGTGGAGGATGTGTTTGTGTGATGTGTAAATATTCGAAATCATGACATATGACTTTTCTTATTTTGAAATAGTCATTAACAACTGAAATACGTATCGTAAACATATACTAGGTAGGACAAAATTTCTGCCTAAGAGTCCGCTTCGGGTTTATACTAGGCGCCATCATTACAAGGCAGAGAGAAACATTTACTAGGTGCATTTCATAACAAAGATTATACCTCCTTAGCTATAGAAGAAAGATATTTTATTCTGTCTGTATTATGATTCCGAATCGAGGATATATGTAGATGTCTATGGGTCACTGCATCCGTTTACCATTGCACTGCAGCCACATACCATACGCTGCAGTTATATCATGGTTGTAACACGATTGGGTCAATTCGACTGAGGAAAAACCACAAGACAGAATATCAGCATAAAACAGCAGAATAGTTCTGTGTTTCATATGTTGAGTGTAGAGAATCGGAGACCCTTTATATTCAAAACGAGGCATTAAATCTTAGTCTTTAAGGATGACATTTTTATACTTATTGTGACGGCCCAATATTATTATTAATAATTAAATTCAATATTAAATGGGCATCAAAAATAGTCTTAATATATATATATATATATATATATATATATATATATATATATATATATATATATATATATATATATATATATATTAAGACTATTAATTAAGCAATAAAATTACATTAATAAGCATAAAGATAATATAAATACATTTCAGACATTAGACCAATAACATAGCAAATTAAAGGCAAATATTGTCTTTCATAATAAATAAATTTATTTAAAAACTTGTAAAAATGTTTAAAATATGATAAATAATAGAAATACAAGTCAAAAATATTATAAAAATAAAGATGCATATTTATAAGATAATTAGAAAATTTTTTAAAAATTGTCTAAGTTGTGGAAGGATTTCATGTATAAGATGTCTTGTATGGAGGAGCTGCCGGAGATACATACCTGCAGTTGTACATAATATATATGGGGTGGTCGGGGGCCCGACTGCTTGAAGTACTGTAGCACAATAACTAGTCCTATATTAGGGTCTTATGATAATAAACTCAATGATGCAAAAGCAATACTATAGAAGGTATCTATGATGAATTTGCATTACAATAGTGGGGTCCTGGGTTGAAGTCCTTTATATTAATGACTTATGAAAGTAAGGTCTATGATACAAAAGCAATACTATAGAAGGTCTCTATGATGAATTTGCATTACAATAGTGGGGTCGTGGGTTGAAGTCCTATATATTAATGACTTATGAAAGTAAGGTCTATGATACAAAAGCAATACTATAGAAGGTCTCTATGATGAATTTGCATTACAATAGTAGGGTCATGGGTTGAAGTCCTATATATTAATGACTTATGAAATTAATGTCTATGATACAAAAGCAATACTATAGAAGGTCTCTATGATGAATTTGCATTACAATAGTAGGGTCGTGGGTTGAGGTCCTATATATTAATGACTTATGAAAGTAAGGTCTATGATACAAAAGCAATATTATAGAAGGTCTCCTTGATGCATAAGCATTGTATGGGGTAGTCGGGTGGCTTACTGCTCCTAGCACTGTAGCGAAATGACTAGTCCTTATTAGGGACTTGAAAAGGAATATTATGGTGGCGTGTATGCTGCTTCACGAGCAATTGGTCCGAGGTAAACTTGGACTCGCTAACCGATGTGTCCTAGACATATCATCTTAGTGCTGGTGGTAAGCGGTTTTTTTGTAGCAATATGGCTTTCCCGTGGACATCGCACACCCATACCGTTTGTGGGCGGCGTCGTAGCGCATAGCGATGCGTCGTCTATCTTTCGGATTGGGATGAGTGTGTTTGGTAGCACTTTTAAGTGTAACAGGCATACTCAACTTCATGTCTTAGTGCATTAGCGCTATGATACATGAAGTTTTGTGTACTGGCGTCTTAGTAGCGTGCTACTATGATACGTTGGTGATATTTTTTAGTTAACAACAATACAAACTTTGTTACCAAAGTCGATGGGGATTATCTGGGTGTTTTGTGAGGGGTGTCGTAAAGCGACAATTAAAAACTAAATAACCTAACCTAACTACAACAAAACAACCAAAAATAAAATAAATTATTTAAAAATTTGAAAAGATTTACAGTTTCTTTTATAAAAAAAGGTATGAAGGTGATGATGGGCTGTAATGATGATAGTGATTTACAATATTATTAAAAAAAAATAACAAAAATAAAGATACTGCAACGAAGTATGCACAGGCTATGCCTATGATAGGTGCACAGCGCCTGCTCTAGGTACACGCAGAATCTGGAGAAAGCACATGCAGCGTCTGGAGAAGGTACACGCAGCGCTTGGAGTAGGCACACGCAACGCCCGGAGCAGATACACGCAGCACCCGGAGTAGACACGCAGCGTCTGGAGTAGGTACACGTGGCGCTTGAAGTAGGCAAACACAACGTCCGGAGTAGACACACACAGCGTCCGGAGTAGACACGCAGCGTCTGGAGTAGGAACACGCAGCGCTTGAGACAAGCACGCTCAGCGGCCGAAGATAGCGCGGGCACTAATAGGTGGAGGCGTAGGCGTGGCTAGGCGACGACTTCAGGAGAAAGCTTGCAAGATCCCGAGGCAGTGCGGATAAAGCCTTTAAGAGGTGCTTCTCGTATCAAAGCTGAAGTGAGGACCTCTATCGGCCGATTCTTCGGCTTTTATATCTTTTGACGGATCTGGGATAAGAACGAGAAATTA